GAAAAACAACCTGAGGGTTCTGGAGGGGAGGGGGGTGGGGGGATGGGTTAGCCTGGTGATGGGTATTAAAGAGGGCACGTTCTGTGTGGAGCACTGGGTGTTATGCACAAACAATGAATCATGGAACACTACATCAAATACTGATGATGTAATGTATGGTGATTAACATAACAATAAAAAATTTAAAAAAAGAAAACTGTGTCTTGTAAAAAAAAAGATGTGTTGGACAAGACTCTGGTGCATCAAATATACTTTATTTTTTAAGTTTAAAAAGTCTTTATTTAATGCATTTCCTGTGACCTTTCTAATCTACCACAGGACAATTTCTGCAAATGTTTAAATTTAGACATCTTCAAATTCGATGCAGCGTATAAAACCCTTTCCTTGTGGCAAAAGTTATAGCTTGGAAAACAATTCTCTTGAGATCAGACTGTTCTGTGTGGCAATCTGACAGTGAGGCCTTGCAGGAGACCATGAAAGGTCTTGGTACCTCAGGTATCAGCAAGACACACATTTCAGTCCCAGACTTGCTTTGGGGTTAGCCTTGCAACTAGGGGCAAGTCATTTAAAGCCTCTAAACCCGTTTCCTCATCTGTAGAACAAGGATACTCATGCTTCACCTGATAGGGTTGTGAAAGGGTTTGAGCTAATGGACACTTGCTGTTTCTGAGTCAGGCAGAAAGGCCAAGTAAACCATAACTGGGTAGAAGAGAACAGGAAGCCCAGTGGACCTATTTTGCCAAACTTCACAAACATCCTGTTTGAGTTCCTGCTGCTACCATTAAAAAAAAACAACAACAACAACAAAAAACTTGCACGCAGAATGTAGCCCCTGTCCAGTATAAAGAATGAAGTATACAAAAGTATTATAAGTCGCTTTCAGAGGGGGACTTGGATTTTGCATCAGTGAAGGGACATCAGGACCTTCGAAGAAACCGGCAAGGAGCCGTATTTCTCCTGCTCCATAAAAATCACCATGATTTATTCCTTTAATGAAAAAGTCAGGGGCTTGTGCAAGCACAACACCTGTGATTTTATGAAGGGAACATAAGTCAGATTCCTTGTGGTGGGGCTGTTGCCACAAGGGGTCAGATCTCGATTATTGGTGGAGCCTGGCATCACCCCACAGGGACACAAACATGAACGGACAGCCAAGAGCTTGAAATAACTCTCAATTGTTGTAGGTGAGAGAAGCTCGTGCAACCCCAAACCGGACTAAGTCTGTTGAAGGAAGGGCTGTCTTTGATCTGAGGTTGAGCTGGCGAGGGAAAAGAAAATGGACCACAGTTCCCTTGCATCTTAAACTGGTTGCCGGTTGTCCACTCAGCACGTGTGAGCACTTTCCCTGTTGCCGGGAATCAAGGGCTTTGATCCTCAATGTTAAATATAGGGATGGTAAATATTTCAGATTCATCAGCCTTCAAGTATTCTTCAGATGTTTTAGGTTCGAGCAAACAGAATACATCCTGCTGAGCACATTCTCCCTCGATTTTTTTTTAAGGACTGTGTGTGCTTTATGGGAAATGGAATCCATATGTTTCTGCTTTGTTTACACTTAAGTCATCAAAAGGTTGTGTTGTAAGAGCTATTTGATGTCCAAGATGCCTTTTGAGCTTGATCTTTCTGTCCTTTAAATATAAGCGGCTCAAAAGCGTTGGTCCCTTTAAAAGGCTGAGAAAGAGAGAGACCGAGAGAGACAGAGAGACATAGGAAGGCCTGTTGGGCCAAGATAAAATAGATCTGAACACCCGGAAGTTCACTTTAAGCTGAAACTACAACCCATGAATTTCACATGGGTCCCGAATTTGCAAGAAAACAAAGGCAGCCAGTTTCAGAAGCGCTCTGATAAATGCAGAAAAGCTGCTGGTAAGTCAGCAACCCCACCAGAGAGGAGAGGGCTCTGAATGTGCTCTGAGCTGCCCAGCAGATGCATATGCCCGCTCCTGGAGGACCTGTTGTTTTCAGGCTTCCCCGCAGCAGTCTCTCCAGCCCGGATAAAGAACCCTTTACGCTATTTAAGCGCGGCGGTATCTGCTGTCCGTGTTTTCCCGGGCTGTCCTGCCCAAGGCCAGAGTTTCCTATTAGTTCTTCTGCCATCTGGCCCAAGTGGCTGGCCACTGAACGGAATACTGTGGGTGCACGTGGGATGGTGTTTATTTACTGGGCAATGACTTTAGAGAAATATCTCACTGAGCTCACAGTAGGCCCGAGAAAACATGGAGTTTGGGTCAAGTACAAAATAGGTTAACTAGGGACCCACAAATTAGGAAACAGCCCGCTGTAAAACGAAGTTTTCTCACTCCCACGCTTAGTCACTTAAGGCATGCTCTATCATTTATCTGTGGCATTTTAGGAAAGGTTTCAGGAGAACAACATCCAAATTGGAACTACCTTAGGTGATAGTATAATTGAAACATCATTAAATCTCTCTATATAAATAGTCATCGTTGGAGCATTGCAGAATGTTAGGATGTGGAGCTTCATGGTCCAGCAGGCTCTTTAGACATGAATTCAATAGAATTCACAGTCCTATGAATCACCTGTATTTCCCAAATCAGTTATCTGGGGGCAAGAAACAGGGTTGTAGAATCTTAGAGGTCAGGGCGTATTTTTTCCCCCAACTCCTCATCTTAAGGAACATTTAGTAGGATCTTTCCAACATTATCCAGCAACTACTGCTATAAACATCTCGGTGTACATTCTCTGAGTTTGATCACACACGAGCACACACACAGAGTTTAATGAGATCGGAGCATTTATTCTGTTTCGAAGCTTCTCTTCCCACAAATAGACTGTGTACTTTCCCCACATTTGTAAACTGTTTTACCTCAGGAGCTTCAGTGCGTGCAGAGTATTTCATCACAAGAACGTACCACAATTAGCTTAATTTCTCAGTATTTTTAAATATGGGCCTTGGAGAAATCATTCTTTCAGATACATTTTAAAATGTTGACCTGAGTTCTTAAAGTTGTTTGCTGTAACTTGGGACACATTAGAAAATAAACTCCCCATAATGTCCACATCTTCATGGAGAACCTCCATCTGTCTCCCTAAGAGGCCAAGCTTCCTCACCTACTGTAGATGATGCTTTCTAAAGACCTTAGACAAGATCAGTAAGACAGTCAGTAAATTGTTTCTTTTTCTTCCTTAGAAAAAGAAAAAGTCGGTTCTACTCCATTTCCTCCCTGAGAAGAGCCCTGTGACTTAAATTCATGCCCCTCTCCTCCTTTGGAGCTCAGTCCGTTAGAGTCAACTTCCAAGAAAGCTGAGATCCATACCTGTTGTACTGCTGGTTTCAGAGTCCCTCCACCCCTTGTTTTGGATTTTTCCAAGCCGTTACCAGAGAGCTCAGTCCTGTCCCTTTTGTTGACAGGTTGCCAGGATACCTCCAGGCTTCAGAGGCTGGGGTTCCTCTTCCTGGCAGCCCAGCCGCACATACTCTAAGAACTCCTGCGGGAGGGCATGTGAATCGTGGAGCTCCCAGCTCTTCTGCTCCTGTTTCCACCAGCTCCCTCCCTGAGGGGCTCAGCAGGCCATGATACAAGCTGAAGCAGAAGGGTGACAACAAATATTATGAGGTGAGGCTTTCTCGGAAGGCGTGCTTTTCCTCTGTTATCTAACTAATCAGTCAGTCTCCAACCTTACCTTTCCACTAATAATAGACTCTTCTGTTAGGTCATCCTGATCTCTTCCACTTCCGTCTCACTAGTATGTCGTAAATACTTTCTCACTATAGAAAAGGAACCCCAAATAAAAATAATGAATCATGAAGTAAAAACCCTCAAGTACTGCTAAAACAAAGTAACAAGTATCAATTTACTTCACTGGATGGTGCTGGCAGTAATGTGAATCATGGAGTCAATGTTTTAGGGGCTGAAAGAGAACCAAAACCAAATTCCATTTGAAAGGATAATATTATTTAAAGATTTTATTTATTTCTTTTTATTTTAGAGAGAGAGAGAGAAAGAGTGGGGGGAGGTGAGGGGCAGAGGGAGAGGGAGAGAATCTCAAGCAGACTCTGCACTGAGCACAGAGCCGATGCAGGGCTCCATCTCATGACCCTGAGATCATGACCTGAGCCAAAACCAAGAGCCAGACGTGCAACTGGCTGAGTCATCCAGGTGCCCCAGGAATAATATTATTTAAATGTATAATTATTTAAAAATAATTGTCTTGAAAGAAAGGCAAATAAAGTGTTTTTACATTAATCCAGGATTATATGTTTATTAACCAAATTATCCTCGAAAGAAAGAGGGGTGAGAAAGGCTATAGTTACTCAGTTGAGTTGGTGGATTTTTTTATTAATTGAGCTAAAATGTACGTGGGGAAATGTAACTGATCTTAAGTTCTTAAATTCAAGTGCTTAAAATCAGTGAGTTTGACAAATATATATAACCATGTAAACTATCACCTTCCCCAAGACACAGGACATTTCTATCATCCAGAAAGCTTCCTCATAGCCTTTCCAGTCCTTTGTCTCTCTATGAGCAATGAGTGTTCTGATTTCTATCACTAGAGAATAATTTGGCTGTCTGTGAACTTCATAGGAATAGACTCACACGGTATATATTCTTGTATCTGGCTTCTTTGGCTCAACAGAATGTTTTTGAGATTATTACATGTTACTGTGTATGTTACTAGTTCAATTCTTTTTATAGGCAAGTATTATTGCATTATAGGATTATTCCACATTTGTTTATCTCTTCTCCTATTCCTTGGTATTTGGCTTGTTTCCATTTTGAGGGTCCTATAAAACTAAAGCTGCTGGAACCAGTCTTGTACAAGTTTCTCGGTAAACATATGGTTTCATGTATCTTAGATTCAGACCTAGCATTGAAATTGATGGTAGATGTATGCTTAACATTATAATGGGTATGAAATGATATGGCACTGTGATTATAATTTGCATTTCCCTGACTAATGAAGTTGAGCATTTTTACATGAGCTTGCTGGAGATTTCTAGCTCACTTTTACTAACTATCTGGTTAACATTTCTTGTTCATTTTAGATGCTTCTTTTCTTGTTTATATCATCTTCACTGATCTATAATTTGCATCCAGTAAAATGCACACATTTTAAGTACACAGTTTGATGAGTTTTGACAAATGATTGCATCCATCTACCCACCAATGTTATCAATATAAAACATGCCAATTCGCCTTTATAGTACATTCTCCTCCCACCCAGCCACCCACAAGCAATCACTGATCTACTTTCTGTCCCTTGAAGATTAGCTTTGCCTGTTCATAGATGGAATAATTCAGCATACTTTTTGTTTATTCAACAAAACATTTTTGAGTGGGACCTATATCACTGTATCAGAAGTTTGTTCATTTTTATTGTGGGGTAATATTCTATTCCATGAATGTGCCATAATTTGCTTACTCATTTACTTGTTGTCATACACTTGTGTTGTTTCTTAAATTTTTCACTATTAAGCGTAAGAGCTGCTGTAAACATTTGTATACGTCTTTTGTGGACATATGTTTTCACTTCTCTTGGGTGATTTTTTTTAAGATTTTATTTATTTAAGAGAGAGAGAGAGCAAGAGAGAGTGTGAGCGGAGGGGAGAAGCAGGCTCCCCGCTGAGCAGGGAGCCCGACATGGGGTTCAATCCCAGGACCCCGGGATCATGACCCAAGACGAAGGCAGTCGCTTAACCAACTGAATCACCCAGGTGCCCCTTGATGGTGGTTTTTAAAGAACATGAGTTTCTAATTTATATGAAGGAAAAATTTTAAATTCTTTTTCTTTTAAGTTTAGTGCTTTTTGTGTTTTGTCTGAGAAGTCTTTGTATTTCCTGAAGTCCTAAAGACATTCTCCTTTGCTTCCTTCCTGAAGCTTTATAGTTTTTATACTTGTACATTTTATATATTAAAGTTTTTAAATTTAGTTCTATGACCCACTTTGAACTAAGTTTCATGTGTGGTGAAAGAAGAGAGTTGGTATTAACTTTTTCCCTACATGTATCCAGTTGTTCTACCATCATTTGTTTAACAGATTTTCTTCCTTCCATTGAATTGTCTCAGCGTCTTGGTCAAAAACGAATTGACTGCATATGTGAACCAGCCATATATTTCTGGACACTTTTCTGTTACATAAACCTATTTTTCTATCTTTACAGGCATTGTTAATTTTTAATAAAGCAGCTCATCTTGGCTTATAAGTAGTGCAGCAAGTATTAAAAACAAATATACAAGTGGAGCCCTTCCATGACTTCTTGCCAGTGGAACTATGCACAAGAGTTTGAATTAGGTTGGGCATTTTTCCTTGCATGTTGTCCAGTTTTTTCCCTAGGCAATAATCTGATCTTAAGTGATTCTATAACAAACAAAGCCCAAAAATATAGTCAGAAATGTATTCAAGAATGATAATCCCAGCAAAAGAGATGCATTTTTCAAATGTATTTGTACAGAATGATACGTGAATTTAATTTCCGTTCGTTCATTCAGTAATTTATTGAGTGTCTACTATATTCCAGGCACGATTTTGGACAAAGAAAGAGGGAAGGAGATTATTTCTTGGTTCAAATTTTTGTAAGGAAACATTATTCATAATCTCTATTGCCTATTTAACAATGTATTCCTCACAATTATAGAGAAAAAAAACCTGTATCTGGTAAAGTAAACATCAGATTGAATGTCTTCATACATTCCTGTGAATTGACAGAAAATTATCAACTCTCAAGTGTTTACTAAGGAACAGTTCCTCAGGCTTCCCAAGTTTGCTATTGCTGTCGAAAGATACCCATTCCTTCTGAGCCTCAGAATGTAAACGATCTTTTCTTCCAGTTGCATTTTTCAGCTTATTTTAGAATTTAAATTTCATGTATTTTTTCTAAGGAAATTTCTTCGCAAACTTGGACCTTAATATGGCTGTTTCTTCTCTGTGTCTAAATAATTTAAATGAATATGCAATATCATCTTAAATAATTTTCCCAACTTCTGTGGTGAATGAAACATTTTCAAATATACATGCAATTCTAAAAAAAAAAAAAAAGAACAAAAACAACAAAAAACCCATAAGTGACGAAGACTGTGAACTGTTGCAGAACACCCTTCCTGAGGAAGCAGGTGGTGATTCCTGTGGAGTCTTAACAGCATTTTCTGAATATCACAGCACACAAGTATGGTACTAGGCATAGTGTATACCATGCTGGGGCCGCAGAGAGGGAGAATGTATGGGAGGCAAGCTGTTGAGAGCCTCAAAGTGGTGACAAGCTGCAAATAGAATGTCCAGAGTGTAATGCAGCAAGAGTATTTTGTTACTGTGTTGTTGTTGTTTTGAGAGAAAATTCTATAAGGAGCCTGACAGAGTCCTGTGCAAGCAAAATTTGGTAGAATTCTGGTTGCATTGAGTGCTACTTTGTAAATTCACGTTGATTCCTAATTGGATGTTTCACTGTTAAGATAAAATGGGGTCTCATCTGTAGGCTCTAATTCAAGAGTCATCAAACTTATCCTGTTAAATGCCCAGACAGTAAATAATTTAGGCCTTGTAGGCCATATGCTCTGCAGTTGTGGGGCAAAAGCAGCCAAAGCTAAACACAGAAATGAGTAAGCATGACTTGGTCCAGCAAACCCTTATTTACAGAAAGAAGCAGACAGCTGGCCAGATTTGGCTAGTGAGCCATAATTTGCTGACACTTGTCTGATCTTCAGTTCTGATGAAATACCTTCCCATCTCATACATTGACATTTAAAGGCCTGTGGCTCTGGAACTCTTCTTCCTTTGTGCACCCAGTCCTTTGGGGTTCCCTTCAAAAGAGATATGACTTCCAAAGAGAACTAAACTTTGAAAACCATCTGCATTCAGAATGCAGGTGACCAAGAGAGACAAGGCATGAATAAGTTCAGCTCAGGAAAGCCAACTTCTCAGATCCTTCTTCAGCTCTCTGCCTAGTCACACAGCTAGTCCTGATCTAGCTAATCCTATGATCTAGCTAGTCCCTGTCGGTTATCCCCATTCTTGGGGGGAAGCTCCAGGCCATCGATGCTTGTTGCTCATGACTTGATAAACTATCTTTGCCATGAGGGCTTGGTCCGGTACGCAGTCCTTGGCTGCATTCTCATTTCTCTGGATTTGGTAGAGTTACGCTTCTAAAGCTAGAATACTAATTCCTAATTTCCTGAGGATTACAAGGGACAAGAGTTAGATGCTCAGGGATCCCCAAGACTTAAGAAGATACTACAAAGCTAGCTGCTAACCCTTCCTTTCCAAAAGGCCTGTTGTGTTTTCACTCCTCCATTTTAATAGAAGGTTTGATTTTTGTTTAAAATTTTAATATAAAATCAAGCTAAACTCAGCCAGTTCATTCAGCATTCAGTTTATCTTGTTGGCACCTACTACGTGCCCAGCACTAGGGATATAGCTATGTGGAGAGAAAACAAGTCCCTAATGTCTTGGAGTTTATGTCCAAGTGGAGGAGACAAATACTATACATACAATAAATAAACAAGACAAAAATATAGTCAGTGCTGTGAAGAAAATAAAAAGCAGTGTCACTATGCTGGTGATTGTGTCAATGGTGGTGGCATTGGTCACGTGTGCATGCGTGTGTGTGTGCATGTTGTCTGCG